GGAGTACGAATAAGAATGTCCATAAAAAGGTGTGCACATGGGCTAGTCTACCCGCTCGACGCACCTGCGAGCACGCTAGTCCAGTGCTGCAGCCCCGCAGTGGGCGACCTCTTCGCCAGCGTGAGGCGCAGCAGCCTCCCCTCCCCCTGCCCGAGCGCATCCTCGAGCACCCAATCCGAGTCGTCAGGCAGCACCTTCCGCAGCAACGATCCCTGCAGCACAGCCTGGCCGCACACCGCGAGCGAAAGCGAGGCCGGCAGCACGCGGCACGCCACGTCTCTTGCCCTCGCGCCGGCCGGAAGCGGCACCTCAACCACAACCTCGGACACAGTCTGACTCCATGAGAAGCCGTCGCCGTTGCCTGAAAACTTGCTCTCGTCGTCCGGCTCGAGCAGCTTCTGGAAGTAGCGTTCCTCCGTAAGGCCTTTGTGCTGCGGCATTGAAGCTGTACCAGTGCCAGCGCCGAAGAAGGTCAGCACACCGACAAGCAGGCAGGCAGCGACGATGGCGCCGTGCCACCCGACAGCGCTCAGAGGCGCCTCGTTGCTGCTATCCGGATCGCATGCGGCGGCCGAAAGCGATGCGGCGGCCGCTAGCAGGCGCGCAAGCCGGGCGGGTTCCATGTAAGCTCCGCGCACACGGCAAGCCTCGAACCGCCGCACAGCCCTCGCCTGCTCGGTGTGAACAGAGTTGGTGGTACACCGAGAGAGAGAGAGAGAGAGAGAGAGATTCTCTCTCTCGTACACCGAGCAGCTGGCTCCGCGACAGAGATCGAGAGTAGGCTGAAAGAGCGTGGGTCGCTACACTGGGCTCGGCGTCGTCGCTAGTGGGGCATCCAAGCGCTCGCGCCGCACGCGCTCCTGCCGCCCGCCGGGCGGTCCAAATCGACCAGGCCTGAGGCCTCGGGACCGCAGGCGACCGCCGAGAGGCTGGGATCGGCCGGCGGCGCGACGCGTGGCCTGTGCTGCGGCCATCTCGGACGTCTCGGGCGCGGCGACGAATCTCCGTTTTCTTCTTTTATGCTCCCCCATGTGGAAGCCAGATCATGGTCCTTATCCTAGCCCGCGACACTACTCACTGGGCGGTGCGGGTGCTTAGCAGCAGCAGTGTTCCTGCCCACCTGCCCATAAATTGGCTTGAAGGGGCTTGAATTTAGCGTCGGTGCGGTAACTTCAAGGCAAACCGTGTCGCCAAACATGTTTGTGAAACGCGGTTCAACGTTGTGTAAACGTGTCTTGAACGGCGGCTGAAAGGCGAGGGAAGAGCGGGTGAAGGGCGGGCGAAAGGAGGGAAAATGACGGCTGGAAGGAGGGGAAATGACGGCTGAATCGCTCACGAATCGAACACGAAGCAACGTAAGAAGACATTCGAATAAGCGGTAGGCGTGGTTTCTGACGGCCGACCGTCAGTGCACGGAGTTGCCCCTTCTCCGACTGCCCCGGCTAGTTCACGCACGAGTTTCGCGGGAGTGACCCCCTGCATATGGTACCCTAGACAGAGCCGACGGAGCCGCGGATGGGGTCCGTCCGGGACGGCTAGAGTATGTCCTATGAAACTATCTGTGCGACCTCCGTATCTTCCCCCGGCTAGTATATAAACATATCCTTCACGTGACTCCGGCGTGGTCTTTTTCTTTTTGTGGAATTATTAGTCCACTCGCTGCGCCGCGTGCGCGACTGTCCACACTCCCTCTCCCCTTCTCTCTCACCGGTACTGCTGCCACGTGTGAGTCTCGCTCCACAGCCCGTAAAGCGACCCCGCCACCACCAGCAACAGGAGTAGCGCAGCACACGCGTGCGACGCGTGCGCGAGCGACGCCCGCATCGCCGCCGCCAGCCGCGCCGCATCGGCGCTCTCCCAGCTGGCGCGTAGAGCGGCCTGCAGGAGGAGCGGCAGCTTCTCCACACGCACGAGGTGGTGGGGCTAGCGTCAGGGCGACCCTCGCGATTGCACGGCTAGAGACGAGAGCCCCGCGCGTTGAGAGTGCAAGGCCCAGTGCGCGTGGGTGGTAGCGTGGAGGTGTGTGTGTGTGTGTGTGTGTGTGTGTGTGTGTGTGTGTGTGTGTGTGTGTGTGTGTGTGTGTGTGTGTGTGTGTGTGTGTGTGTGTGTGTGTGTTTGCGTGTGTGTATGTGCGTGCGTGCGTGCGTGGGTGCGTGTGTGTGTATGTGCGTGCGTGCGTGCGTGGGTGCGTGTGTGGTGCGGGGGGGGGGGGAGGGTTTCGTACATTCCTGCCTGCATGCCTTTGTGTCATCTGTGTGGGGAGGGCGGCCTGCCCCGCCTTGAGCGCCCCCTCGGGGTCTCTCAGCGGAGAAACCTTTTCCTCCCCGCCGCCGCCTTTTGGGCCGCCTCCGCCGCTTCCGCCGCCGCCGCCAATGCTGGCGCCGCCGCCGTCGCTTTCTGCGTCGCCGTCGCCGTCTCCGTCGCCGCCGCTGAACATCGGTCCCGGGAGCCTCTCTGAAGAATCGCGGTAAGCTCTTCCGCTACCAACGGCCCCACCGATCCC